CTGGCCAAAATGAGTTTTCTCCACAGGGTGTCTGGGCTCTCCCGTAGAAATAGCGTGAGAAGCTCAGTCATCAGGGAGGGGGTCGGAGTAGACCCGCTGCTCCTCCACATCGAGAGGAGCTAGTTGAGATGGCTCGGGCATCTGGTTAGGATGCTTTCTGGACATCTCCCTGGGGAGCTTTTCCGGGCACGTCCAACCAGGAGGACACCTAAAGGAAGACCAAGGATACGCTGGTGGGACTATGTCTCCCGTCTGGCCAGGGAACACCTTGGGATCCCCCGGAGGAGCTGGCCCAAGTGGCTGGGCCTCCCTGCTTAAGCTGCTGCCCCCACGACCTGACCCCAGATAAGTGGATGAAAATAGATGAATGGATGACCTTTGAGGTCTACTTGCTCCATTTTCACGTTATATAAAACTTCATTTTGTTAAAGAACGGTCTGGAAAAAAGATTGATAAGGTTGTGTAGAAAAGAAGTTCATAACAAAATTGCAGATAAATGAAAGGATATGACGCAACACAAATGTTTGACATGAATCTAATAATTCCTGAGCCAACCTAGAGCTGCCACTCATTAGGCACCTAATTATTCCAGCTAGTTATGTGATGTAGTGTTATTCCAGCTTAAGGGCATTAGGCACATCAGCTGGAAAAACACGACACATAATCAGAAGTGGATAAAAACAGTCAACAGAAACGACTAAAAATTAAATACCTTCTCCAGTTTTGCAATATAACAATCTTGCTCGTGCTGACTATTTTCGGAGAACATGTTGTTGACAGAGACCTAGGCAGGGGTGTCATGACATCCTCAAATGCCAAAAAAAGAGAAAGAAGGTACAAAACAGAACAAAGCACAGAAGTGGCACAAAAGCCATTAAGACCTGTTGACCTGACCTAGTGGATGCACGCTCCTTTCCTTTAGTGTATTAACTCAGATCCTGGAAGGCACAAGGAGAGCAAGTAAGCAGAGCAAAAATACTCAGCCTGCTACAGTTGATACTGCCTCATACTCAGCCATTCTTTTGCCAGTGAGTCTGACCTTTAGAGTATGGATAAGGCAAGCAGCACCGGCTGTTGCATAAAATCTTGGGAGGTTGTGAGGAAATCTAAAAATTCTCAAGGCAACTGAGGTAAACAAACATTAGTCATCAAGTCCATGTTGTGTCCTCTTCCAAGCAGCACAAGTCCTTATACAACAGTCAACATGTTTTCCTGTGTGAGTGGGTGAAGCAGCAGCAGCAGCAGCAGTGGAGTGGAAAGATGCCGCTCATTCCTGGACTTAACCGAGAACGCCTGCATTACAAAGGCCATGGGTGCAGGCTGGTTTTGCTTTATCTTGTTTATCCAGTGTTAAAACTAACTGAACACGCAGCAGAGTTGGGAGTGTTTGGCTGAATCTCTGGCAATCTAATGATTTTTCTTTTGCTTCTCATTATTGAAAAAGGGTACAATACTGAACACCCAAAGAGGTAGGTACTGCCAACTTATTATGACTGATCATTTATTAGGCATTTATCGGCATCAACATCGGTAACTGATGCAAGTCATTTTTAACACATCGATAACAGTCCGAAAGTATAACTAGGCCGATATTAACAACTGATGTTTATTTCCATCTTGTTTGCGTGTTTTTCAGGAGGTGGGGGGAGGGCAGCGCAGGACTGTGGGGGGGGGGACTGGAAACTGATCTGTTACTGGCCGACGTAAACCTATTTCTCTGCACTAAATGCTGTCGCCTAATTGTTCAGTGTTGTGATGTCATGTCTTAATTTCATTATTATATTATTGTGAATATAATGCTGTGAATGCAAATCCTATTAAATGCAAAATAGAAAAGTTAATTGTTATAAATGCACTTTTTATACATATTTTGTAAGATTATACATAAATTGTTACCTTCATCTGATTGTAAATAAAATAAAAATAAAATAATCAAAGACTATTAAATTGACTACATAATGTGGTAATAGACTAATATGACGGACATATTAGATTTTACCCATTCCAGAGATAACGGTTCCAAAGGGAACCCAGGTTTCCTCTCCCGGGCTCCTCTTAAGGCATCCCGAGGCATTTCCTGCCCCAGAGAGGAAACTCTGGGGCAGAATAGTTAAAATTCTTCCATCAAAACAATAAAAAAGTGTCTATTTCATGTTACAAAATCAGCTGTTTAATGTTTCTACTTCTTATCTGTCCAAAAGAAAATCCTGCAATCAAGTAATTTGAATAATATCAAAGAGCTACTCGACTCTAAATTGGGATTCAATGAATGACCACTTAACACTGGATATAAAAGTGTATCCATCTCAGAAGAGGGACATGAAAACCAGTTCCAGCTACACTGCACTTGATGTTAGATTACTGACCCACCACTTGAGGGACAACAATAACAAAGTCATTGATTCAGGAGGCGAGTCCCTTTGAATATTCATGTGAAATGTGATTTATTTAGGTGTAAAAGAGAAATGACTATGCATATGTTTGTTGGTAATTACAAAATATTTGCCACCATATAACATGTTATTTTTGGTCCATCTAAATCAAAAATATTAACAGTACAACAATAATGACATTAAAGAAAATCCCTAGCCCTGGTTTCACACTGAAAGCATCGCAGCGGAACGTCACTGATTCAAATAGACTCCATCATAGTCTGTGGAGTGTTTCAAACCAGCCACAATGCTAAAAATAGGATTGGGTTCTATTTTTGCCACGAGCCACTTCAGCTGTGTGTTTTTCGTGGCTTTAATCCTGGCAGTGGAGAAGAACAACATCATATATGACATCAAACAGCGATTTCAAACGTGATTTCCTTATCTTTGGTTTAATGGTGGAATGCATAAAGAAACCATGACCTTTGAAGTCTCGGGGGATCTTGGGATCATGCGAGTCCAGCGAAGAGCACAGCAAGGAAGCCGTCCCGCGGCCAAGACTCTGCCGGTGTGAAATGGACCACTTTGAAGTTTGGAAGTAAACCGTTCTGCTGCCGTTTCGCGTCGCTGATGCTTCCAGTGAAGTGAAACCTGGGTAAAATTATTATTTAAAACTATATCATAATAAATAATTATTAGAATTACATAATAAGTATACTATTATCTATGGGTAGTGACTGAAAGAATGAGATCGCGGATACAAGAGGCCAAAATGCGTTTTCTCTGCAGAGTGGCTGGTCTCTCCCTTAGAGATAGGGTGAGAAGCTCGGTCATCCGAGAGGGGCTCGGAGTAGACCCGCTGCTCCTCCACATCGAGAGAAGCCAGTTGAGGTGGCTTGGGCATAAAGTTAGGGTGCCTGCTGGACACCTCCCTGGTGAGGTTTTCCGGGCACGTCCAACTGGTAGAAGGCCTAAAGGAAGACCCAGGACACGCTGGAGATACTATGTCTCACGGCTGGTCAGGGAACACCTTAGGATTCCCCCGGAGGAGCTGGTCCAAGTGGACGGGGAGAGGGAAGTCTGGGCCTTCCTGCTTAGGCTACTGCACCCGCGACCCGACTCCGGATAAGCGGCCAAAAATGGATGGATGGAACAAGTATTCTAAGCTTTAATGTATTAACAGCAAAGCAGATCAGTAGAATAAGAGATGATGAAAGTATAATTATTTCCAATCGGTGCAAGGGGGAATTTCCCCAAATCTATTTGTTCTGTTGCGCAACTTTCACAAAACAAAAGGTTCTTTATGAGCTAAGTGGACAAGTGCAAGAAGTAAAAAGAAAAAATGCCCCCAATTGGTGGGGAAATGGCGGGATAAATGAGAAAGTAGCTGAGATGAAAAACAGCAGTTTAGCAGCAAACAAAAGCCATCACACAACTCCCGCGTGAGACGGAAATATCCCTAGAAGGAATTTCTGGCTGATAAGCAGTGAAGTGGAGGGCTGTGCTGAGATGAATTAATGAGCCAGATTCCAGTTACCCTCAGTTAATGTTCCATGCAACAGAGATATGTCTGTATAGAGAGCAGATGGCCCCCGAGCAACACAATAGGGCAGTCAGAATCCAGACTCGACTCCTATGACTTCACTTCCAGAGTATCTTCATCAACATGAACCCAAAATCTTGCAGGGGTGATACTTCATCAAAGGTTCTTAGAAATGTGGATAGCACAGGGTTAGATGAGAGGTAACTCAGTCCTTCGAGAGGGAAGAAACCACCAAGAGAGCTGGCAGAAGGAGAAGTGAGAAAATTCAAAGGAACCATCTAAACGTCACCCCCCTCCTAACAGTTTGATCATCTGTTAGCGTGGAGTGCCAAGACTTGCGACGGATTTCTGTTTGAGCCAAACACAAAATTAATTGTGCTCTGACCTCCCACAGACCTGAGATAAGGGCACAGGAGCAGACCTTTGAGGAAGGCTAAACAGTCGTTCAGGCGATAAAAGCTTTCCTGGTTTCGGTGTGTGAACAGCGCTGGACTGTAAGCTTCATCCCAGATCATTTATTTACTCATGTATTATATGACACCAACAACGAAAAACAGAGAAATATTACCTGCAATAAACAAGGAAGTGTGTTTTTTTGGTTAAAAGAAAGAAAAATCAATTAAGTTGGTAAAAATCGATAAAAGAAATGTCTTCTATTACTACAAGGTCACACAGTTAAGGCAAACACAGGCAGCATATTGGGCACCAATCACTACATCTTGAGAGGGCACCTGATGAGTCCCAGTGGGAAATGGTCTAGGATTCAGACACTCATTTGTGATTTCCTTCCCTCCGTTGAGTTTGTCCTTCCCATAAGAGAAAAGTGCATTAATGTGTTTCATCTGCTTTGGCTCTCACCCTTCTCCTGAGACCAATTTGCCCTTGAAGTACTGTAACTCTAAAAAACAACTCAGGGAGAAATAACTGGGATACTTCTGACAGATTACATTTGAGAATTCAATGTGCAAGATGTTTGGGTTGTCTTCCTGTTCTGTATTTTTGGCTGATGCCTGAGTAATTTTAGCCAAAAAAAAAAAACACACAATAAGAGGATTAAGTTGTAAAAGTGTCTTGGACCACTTTACCTTACGTGATGCATGAATGTCAAAGAAGGGTTTATTTCGGACACTGAAAGGCTCCTTGGTTTTGTCGATCTGTCCTGTCTTCATCTTTTCCATCCGAGGGGAAATTATTTCCTTTTCTATGCACAACAGTCGGATATTGAAATCACACTGGCCAACGGGCTGCCCCTGAAAACACAAAACATGACAGTTTACCTAAATGCACCTTATTTAATAATCTTTTAAACATGGATGACTATTATTTTCAGCTGAGCTCCTTTGTTTATGAAGTTATAAGAACCAACACGAAATAATAAAGCAACTTTTGATTTAAATAGCCTATATTTGTATAGCACCTTGTTAGGGTTCAATAACCCACCAAGACGCTTCACAACACGATAAGTCATCCACCTAGCCTAGTGAACTAGACCACATTCTTGCTTTGAAAAGTTTGGTCTTGGAACGCTCCACTGGAACCTCTGCAGCCCCTAGCAGCATTCTGGCTGGCCAATCACAGCTCTCTATAGGGGTTTCAATCCTGTAAATCCTAATGTATTTATTAAAGGTACAAAGCCTTGGATTATTTATTGGACCAATTACCCAGGTAATGATGTAATTCACTGTCAACGTTTTTCTTATTTCCTTTGATGAATAACTTTGTAACGTCCAGCAATGGTCAGTTTAGGTACAGTCTGACCTTTCAACATCTGTTCAACATCTGGTCAGAAAGGAGACACAACACTGCATGTGTTCCCTTTAAATGAGCCTGCCTTCATACCAGCTGGGACTCACAGACTCTGCAAGTCTGAAAGATAAACAATAACTTTCTTTCCCAAGGTCTCATCTGGTTGCCTCCACAGAAGGAAGAACTCCAGCTCGAATCAATTGCTAAATTCAAGAATGATTTCCTAAATCAATAGGAACCTCTTCCATGACTTATAATCTAGATAATCATTAAATAAACATTTGTTTATAACAATTATGGTATAATGAAATGCTTCATTAATCTGTACTCACTGAATACTTGTTATGTTATGTTATGTTATGTCTACTACTGCAGTGTGTTCAACATGTTTTGACGACGAGGTCCTCACACCTGCATTAACACAATAACAATTACGGTTAAGTTAAACCCTGACACACATAATATTAAACCAGTCAGAACATCCTGTATCAAGAAGGCGTTTTTCTGAGTTGTCTTGGTAACATCTCTCAAACTTGTCAGCCTCTGATTGGCTGTGCAAGTCATAAAATCAAAACCTTAAAACTGGATCATCCTGAGTGATTCGACAGTTCTAGAGAATCGCTTCAGGGCGGCCACCTGTAGTAAACCTCTAATCATTAAAGATTTTGACACGTTGTCAAAACCTTTTTATGCCTGCAAAGCTGATGAGCAAACAGTTCCTGCAGAAACAAAGCTGATATTGTTTAGACTCCTTAAGAGTCCGCCAGACGCACGGTTCCATCCAGCTGTTGTGACCCGAGAACCCTCTGGACTGAAGAGTCGGTACCACGGTATTCTACAGCCCTCTGGTGCCAGAGGTCAGCCGACCCCTGCGACTTTCAGATCCACCAAGAGGGTCTCTCCAAAACGGGTGAAGTAGACATGACAGATTGCGTCTGATGTGCTTCTGATGATAACAACTTTATAGCTTAGAGCAAACCAAATTCTTTTCACCAGAACTCAGCTTACTTTGATAAGGAAGCTCTGACCGACATCGCATTCACACATGGGTTCCTTCATCACGTTTAGTTACATCCACTCACAGTAAATGCTTAGTTAATTAGTCATGTTTTAATTGTTTGCAAATAAATTCTTACTTTTATAAACCTGATCCTTTCTTGAAGTAACACGAAGTGTGGTTGATCACTGAAAAAGCAAAGAACCTAGATATTCTGAATTAAATCCTAGAATCTTCTGATAATTACAATAAAGATAATCGTAAGAAAATAATCATCGATTTGCCTAGGCAACAACTACAACCAGCGAAACTACTACCCCAAGTATTTCTGGCTACCTAAGAACATTCTGTGTCGGTAACAACCGAAATCTTCATCAACAATGCCAAGTTGGGCGTGATTGGCAGGCACCAGGCCTCCAGCAGATCTGGAACATAAACTGGAAAGATGAGTGATTCAAAAATAAACAGTATAAGAGTTTTTTTTTTTTTACAGGAATCCAGTTTTTATTGATATTTAACTAATGCATATCTATTTAAGACATTGGTAAACTGTGCCACTTGTGACAACCTAAAGCAGGCATGTCTTACTCTGGTTCTCCAGAGCCCCTATCCTGCATGTTTTAGATGATTCCCTGCTCCAAGACACCCGCTTCAATGGTTGAATCACCTGCTCAGGATACCACCAATCTCTGCAGAAGCATGTAAATCATCTACTGATTAGAATCAGAGAAACCTCTAAAAACGGCACCGACCTAAATTATCTCATTTGTTAATGAAACCTGAATAAGCTTTAACAAGAGCATTACAAATAAATCTACCTAGCTCACTAGACCTTCAAATCCACAACTTGAAGTAGAAGAATAAGAAATAATTTGTCCAACTGACATCTGCAGATCAGAGTCCATGTGCATGTCTTCAGTGAATTGGAAACAACAACAAAAAAATAAATAAATAAAAATGTGCACATTGCCCCGAGTGCCTTCACTGCTTCTCAAAAGAGACAGGACCACTGACGCAAAGCAACAGTAAAAAGTAGATCCTACTCGTAGTTTTAAATGTCAGCGCTTGGGTGGAAAAGCAGCACAACATGCAACATATAAAAACAAACATGACAGGATAACTATGTTAGATTGCTGAGTGATGCAGAGCAGTCGTAATAAAAAAACAGCCTGGTGCGTTCAGTCAATTGACAGTTGCCGTCACAAATTTCTGTTGCTAAATTGGCAAATTGAGTCAAAACAATGACTCGGACTTCATCTTTCTGTACACATACAAACAAAAAGAGCTCTGAAAGTCAGCCAGGTGGACACGAACTTAACAGCAATTTGACATTTAACATTCCTTATAAGTTATTAGAGGACAGAAGTGCCTCAAACTCCAAACAAGCCGTTTCTTTTGTGCCAAAGCAGAAAAAAGATTAGAAAATGAAACATAACAAGCCAATCCTTTCACCTGGCTGTGAGGAGATGACAAGCCATTTGTAAAACTTGAACACATCTCTAAATATTTTCTAATCTTACGCCTACACACTTTGCAGACAGGCAGCATAACATTTCATAAAAAGCCAGCAGACCTTTTCTGTGAAACAGACAAAAAAGAGAGAGAGATAAAAATTGAATAACTTATAAAAATGAAACAGCTTTCAGCATCTGACTGGTGAAAGGATTTTAGTTTCTGAAGGATTTGATATAATTGAAACAAAAATTACCTCTTTCACTAAAAACACAAAAAAAACGTCAAACTGAATTCTTTAATCAACAGTCCTTGAATTTTTTAGGCTGCTGCACTTGTGTTATGATGAAATACCTTTAAATATATATATATATGCATATATACATATATGCATATATATATAGAGAGAGAGAGAGAGACTGATTGGATTTATGCTGGAAAATAACTGAGCAAAAATGTGAATTAACACCTTCTGCTAAAGAAAAAGAAAGCAACAAAATCTTCCCATTAAATAGTCCCAAAAACAGGATTTTCAAATTATAAATCTGTTATTTGCCTGAGACTAAGAGGTATTCAATCAAAGACAGAAAAACACAAAACTTGGTAGTTTATCGTCATAAAAATATTAGTTATACAAATAATGACTCCCAGTAGGGAGTAGGGGGTATTTGATCCCCTTTGGATTACTAATGGGCATCCATTGGTAAGGTCTTACTCAAACACAAAAGCACTGCTTGCTTGCAGTAATTTAGGTTCTGCCCCCTATTGTCACGGCACTTTAAAAGTATATTTTATGGAAGATTGTGAAGATGAATAAAAAATAAAAGCCAATATGCTTGTGGTTGTATCACTGATGCAACTCTGATCCTACAAATCTGAGTTGCAACTTCTGAGAAATAAAAATGTCTCTTATTTTGTAGACATTTTAACGTGACAAAGCCATGAAAGTGCCAAAACCAGTAGACTTTTACAAGGATTGTGATCATATAGTTTACCATTTTGCATTAAATCTTAACATTTACTTCCTCAAAGGAGAATAAAACGTAAATGATAATCCATCCATCCATCCATTCTCTTCCGCTTATCCAAAGTCGGGTCGCGGGTGACAGCCTAAGTCCAGAGGCCCAGACGTCCCTCTCAGACGCAGCACCAATCCGCCTGTCGATCTCGCGGTCCATCTTTCTCTCACTCGTGAACAAGACCCAGAGAAACTTAAACTCCTCCACTTGGGGCAGGACCTTGTCCCTGACCTGGAGAAGGCATTCTACCATTTTCCAACTTAAGACCATGATTTCGGATTTAGAGGAGCTGATTCACATCCCAGCTGTTTCACACTTGGCTGCGAACAGCTCCAGCAAAAGCTGGAGATCATGTTCTGATGAAGCCAACAGGACCACGTCATCTGCAAAAAGCAGAGACCCGATCCTTAGGACACCAAAACAAATCCTCTCAACAACTTGGCTGCGCCTAGAAATCCTGTCCATTAAAGTTATGAACAGCATCGGTGACAAAGGGCAGCCTTGGCGGTGTCGAACTCTCACTGGGAACGAGCCAGACTTACTGCTGGCAATGCAAACCAAACTCTGACACCGGTTATATAGAGACCTAACAGCCCGTATCAGAGGGCCTGGCACCCCATACTCCTGAAGTAACCCCCACAGGGCCCCCTGAAGGACGCAGTTGAAAGCCTTCTCCAAATCCACAAAACACATGTAGACTGGTTGGACAAACTCCCACCCACCCTCCAGGACCCCCCAAGGGTATAGAGCTGGTCCAGTGTTCCACTGCCAGGATGAAAACCACATTGTTCCTCCAGAATCCGAGGGTTTGACAATCTGACAGACCCTCATCTCCAGAAACCATGAATAGGCCTTTCCAGGGAGACTCAGGAGTGCGATACCCCTGTAGTTGAAACACACTCTGCGGTCTCCCTTTTAAACACGGGGACCACCACTCCGGTCTGCCAGTTCAGTGGAACTGCCCCCAATGAAATAAATAAAAACATATTTTTTTAAGTGTTTTTACTTTTTTTTTAAAGACATGTTAAAGGAATAA